CAGGAACACGTTCTCGCCCTCTTGATCTTAACGACAGGTTCGAGTCTTCATTGTTGTTCAGAAGGTGCGGTTTTTTGTCCTCATAGCTACTGGTTTTGGACTCTTCTGAGCAGACAGGGAGCTTTTATGGGCAAAACACTTTCTCCCAGTTGCGCGCAGTATTCACCAGGCCAACATCATCACAGCATTCTCAGTCCTCCTCGCAGTCGTCGTTCGCACCCAGGGCGGCCTATATCCCTTCGGCGAAAGGCAGTTTCTCTCCAAGTTGGCTATATACCAAGTTCTGATGTGCAGTATCTGCGCTTTATCGTATTTACCAATCCACAGAAGCTCTTCACTCGACATGTACGCGCTGCTGACTTATTTTCTCATCACGCTCATCTTTCTGTGGGTCGGTTCAAGCAATGGGCGTCCATACGAAGTTTTGGGTGCCATTGCCTCGCGATGTATAGACCGCAGATCTGGGAGCTCATCGCACCCGGTCGAAGACATCATTCAGCTCTTGCCTCTGCTGACAAATGATACGAGCGGCACGAGATTTACGCTATCAGATAATCTATTAGATCCGTTCTTACTCGTCATTGGGGGTACGACGTTGCCGTTTGTTTTCGTGTTTCTTTTATACGTGATCTTCTACATTACAATCATTACTTGCTACATCATAGGTGTTATGTTGGGTTTGTTTTATGTCCTGGTCACGGTTGCTTTTCGGCTGTTCCTTGAATTACTATCTCCTTTGCTGCATGTTAGTCCCAGAAGACTCGGGGCTCTTTCTATTGTGTTCTCTTTTGGTGCTGCAGCGACCGTCTTGGTTTGGCTACTTCTGGCAGACTTGCTGAGAATGCGAGCACAAATGCAAGCGTTGGCTGGGGATGAGTACGAGGATAACGATTGGGGATTTGGACAGATCACTGCTGTGATGACATGGGTACCGGTAGTGCAAGAGACTCTTTTCAGCATTCTTCGTAAGTACTCATTTCTATCACCCGGGGTCATGGAAGACGAAGAACTCGCACATCGCCCTCCAGTTGCGAACATGATTTTTGACACTGATTCATCGGGAAATCCATCACCAAACAGGCACGGTTAGATATTCCCGAAGCGTCGCAGAGGGTCGCTCACATGATACTGATCGAGTGGCGTCAGTCGGACTGTTAGCGAGAATGGACAATATGGAGGTAAATGACCAACAGACCATGGAACTAGAGGACTTGACACCGCGGGTATCATCGGGGGAGACCTCCGATTTCGATTCCTACTCGAAACCTCTACTACCATTAAGCTCGAGCGGATCCCAAACACCAACTCGACTACGAACAACTTCGTCCCGGACGCCTTCCTTACAACCCAGACTCCAGGGATCTACACTTTGGTCTCGGACAACATGGCCGCGGAATGAGAGTGGCACATACTTGCCAGTATAAAGAGAGTGAAAGGCAGGACGGGCGGCGCATAAAAGAGTCCGGGTTTACCGTAAACAGTGGAGCTGTACGGCACAAAAACAAACCAAAAAAGGAGAGAAATTGATATACTACCAGGTGACCTCGATGCAAAAGTTGAAGATTAATGATCGCGGCAGGGCTCGAACCTGCGATCCTCTGCGAACAGATTAGAGAATAGCTACCAAAGGAAGCTTCCTCATTATTTGTAAAGCAGATGCCTTAACCACTGGGCCACGCAACCAATTGTTGTGGTGTTTGTTGTGGATTGCTGGTAGAGTTGAAGTGGGAATCGTTCTTTGGCTTTCTGCCTTCAAGCCACTCCAGTCATCATACGCTTGTGCAGTCGTTTGTGGCGAGTTTGACGTTTTTTGACCCCACATGTTTGACAAGACCCACATGAAGGGCTGAAAAGTGACATCGGCTTGTTCGGCATGTCAAAAAATTTCACTCGGCATTGACATGTCGCTTCCGGGCCGATAGCGGATGTTTTTGAGGTTATTCTGACCACATTTACTTCGACCTCACAAACCCGGGATTACTCACTTGATCATCATCCGAACTGCTCCGGGCTCTATTTATACATTTTCTTGGCGTTTCTGATCGACTCTTTGCTTCTTTTCATTCACCTTTCAGGCTTCCAAACTGCTTAAAAGCCTCAATCTTTGCTCCACAGACGTGTTGCCAAGCTTTCGGTCCTCATCGAGCCCCTGAGCCACCACCGACATCACCAACACTCACTCAACTCAATCTCACCACCAAAAAAACCAGCATCACCACCAACCATGACGCAACTTTCACCATCCCGAGCGACAGAGTCCCTCCCAGTGACTCCTTCCCCCTACTCGCCGCTCTCCTCAACAACCAATCTGCCCACGACTTCCTCGCCGCCCACCGTCAAAGTCCAAGTTGGCATTGCAGACCCTTCCCTCTCCCAAAACGACACCCTAGTCAACCAACTAGTCCAACTCATAAACGCAGTCTACACCGTAGCAGAAGAAGGCATCTTCAACGACGTCTACCGCCGCACAACCCCCTCTGACCTAAAGAATCTCATCCAACCCTCTGAACTCGCCTTGGCTTGGATCTCGTCGTCCTCTTCTGATCCGAATCCCCCCCCAAGCCAGTACGATTCTCCAACCTCGAAAATAATAGGCTGCGCCCGCGTCCAGTCCCTCTCCGCCACGCATGGCGTCTTTGGCATGTTAGTTTGCGATCCTAACCATCGAGGCAGCGGAGCGGGCAAGAAGCTTGTCGAGTTTGCAGAGGGGTATTGTAAGGATGTGCTGGGCAAGACGGTTATGCAATGTGAATTGTTGGTTTCTACGGAATTCGAGCATCCTTTCAAGGTGAGGATGCATAGTTGGTATGAGAGGATGGGGTACAAGGTTGTGAGGATCGGCGATTTTGGGGCTGAATATCCTCACCTCAAGCCGTGCTTGGTCACGGATGTTGAGTTTCGGGTTTATGAGAAGCCACTTTAATCTAGGTTGTTGGTGTCGGCGTTTGGGGGACATGAGTAGGTGGAGAAGACTTTTGGTGTGCTGAAGGAGGTAGCTTGGCCGTGTGGTTGGGAAGCTGATGACCTTTCTACGGGTGATGAGGTTATGTACAGTTAATTAGAACGTCACTTCTTGCGTGCAATGGTGTTAGAAAATTAAGTTTTCATTTCTGGTTTAAACAAACGGATTAATCTCTTCTGCAACCTTGTCACCATGGTGGGACTTGGTCAGCTCAGTTCGTTGACCCATTCCGCCATGGCATCCATGAACCAGAAAGTTTTGCCGACCGCCATCTTGTATATACATATTACACGAACCTCGTCATGATATCCCCTCAGCTGCTGGACCGAAGCCTGGGCGACACAGCCCGTCTCACGGGTATGACCGACGCATTGACCAGCAAGTCGCTCTTCCCTTTCCCCAAGTTCTTCCTTTCCATGACCTTACTCAATCCCTAGTCTTGTCCGCGCTGCGCTTGCTGTTGGTGTCCGAAGTATGCGACATGATCTTTGTGTTTCGCGGGTCGTAGCTTCCATCGCCGCGCTCCCGCTCGGTGAGGTTGACCTTGCCCGGCAGGCCGCCCTGTCTCCCAATCGTCTCGAGGGTCTCGGAGATATGGCCGTGCATAGGGAGGGGATCGCGGTTGGTGCTCGACATGCCACCGAGCCAGTAAGCTCCTGCTAAGGCGCCGATCGCTGCGACGGTGGGAAGGGTGCGGCTTCGGATATTTTGGTACATGTTGACGGTGCGACGAAGGTGGTAAGTGTTTGTGTCAATGGAAGGGTCAGGAGATGCCCGTGCCGTGATTTCTTTGAGGTTGGTTTTTGCGCAAAGGAAAGGAAAGGTGTCGTGCTCGCTTTAGCCTGACGGGATCTGGCGACTGTCAATCGATTGTGTGGCGGTGATATGTTTGATATGGTTTGCTTTTTCCACAGTCAATAAATTGGAGAATGACTGGGAATTAAAGGACCCTTATACTGAAGTGACTGATAACCCGACGCGCAAGGTTTGGCGCGGCGAGATCACGATGATCCGTAATGACATCAAGTCCTGCATGCATGCAAAGGCGCACCGGCATTAGTCCCTACATAAGACACGTTTCAACCAGAGACTAACATCTCGTAGCGGAGATGGACTCCGGGACCTTGGTAACATTACCGCCTTGAGGATCTCGAAACCGATACCTGCTGGACGCGCTTGATAAAGGATTGGTGTCTCGGTGACGTCAAACACAGATGGCTACCAGTATGGTTCGACTCTTCCCGGGGACCCGAATAAGCAGAAGATCTCGCATTAGGTTTTTATTTAGGGTAATACTAGGGACACACACGTATTTTACTGCGGCCACACACTTGCCAGTCTGACAGCTGTAATGGGCACGGGCAATACAACAAGGTTTTTTTAGTCGTAAATTCCGTGAAAGCATGGGTGCCGCCCATGCAAGCCCAACTATACCGACTGGATTGACTAGAACAATCGGACTGGATTGACTGGATTGACTGGCCTGACTGGATTGACTGGATTGACTGGATTGACTGGATTGACTGGATTGACTGGATTGACTGGATTGACTGGATTGACTGGATTGAATGGATTGACTGGATTGACTGGCCTGACTGGATTGACTGGATTGACTGGCCTGACTGGATTGACTGACCTGACTGGATTGACTGGATTGACTGGATTGACTGGAGTGACTGGATTGACTGGATTGACTGGATTGACTGGATTGACTGGCCTGACTGGATTGACTGGATTGACTGAATTGACTGGAATGACTGGATTGACTGGATTGACTGAGTGGATTGACCAAATTGACTGGCCAGTACTGACTGGCTTGACTTCCTGTTTTTGACCAAATTTCGGCTTCTTCTCTGCTGGCTTGAGAATCTAATGAAACATTCATCATCAGGGACTGACTTCTCCTCACGAGCGACGTGATAGATATTTGTAAACATACCTGAAAGGAACACAGGAGGTCTGCGTCGATCAACATCGTTGCACTGGCGTTGTCAAATTCCCCACGGTAGTTAGGTGCACTCCACAGTGTGACAAGCTGCCTGTTCGCAAAGAACTCGTATCCATCTTCAACAACCTGGTGGCCTCGTACAATGAGATCCAGGTCGTGCTTCTGTAAAAACCGAGAGACGACATCAGGGCCAAAAGTGAAGCTGACACCCCTATCATTTTCAGCCCACCCACTAATGTCCTTATCTGGGTCGCTCCAAAGAAGATCACAGAGAAGACCGCAATCGGGTACCTAGTATGACAAAGTGGTCAGCAAGCCGGAGTGAGAGTGGACAGAGATAGTGTCTCACATCTGCTGGCCGCATGACGCGGCGAATCTGTTCCATCGAGCTCAAATCCGGACTGAGTCCCCCGTGGCAACAAAATATCTTGTCCTCCACGATGGCGGCAAAAGGCAAACAGTTGAAAACGTCGATAAAGGACTTCCATAGCTTGATATTATAGCGCCTCCTACACTCGTCGTAAAAGCCGCTCATCCTTGATATGGCGCCGGATTCGTGATTCCCGCGGAGGAGGAAGAAGTTATCTGGATATTTGATTTTGTATGCCAGGAGTAAACAAACTGTTTCAATGGATTGCTTGCCGTAGTCCACATAGTTCCCCAGAAATAGGTAATTAAACTCGGGAGGAAAACCGCGATACTCGAACGCCCTGAGGAGGTCATAGTATTGCCCATGCAGGTCACCAATAACCTAAACATGTCAGCTAAGGGAGGCAGATTCCAAGGGTCAGTTTAATAGGTACACATACCGCCATTGGAGCTTCCAGCTCTAACAACATCGGCTGGGAAATAAATATCTCCCTGCTCTTCTCGCATAGGTAGCGTATCTCGTTCTCGAGCAGCTGAACCAGCTTGCCAGGCTGGGAGCCGCGCACTTCCAAGAGCCGGTCGATGATAGAATCCAGATCAATCTCATAATTCTCATTCGATGAGATCCCTGCGGGGGTACTGGAAGGGCCAGCCTGAGACGACGAAGCATCAGTCTTGGTTTCATAGGTGGTATTGTCGTTGTCGATCGATGCTAATGTCGTCTCATCACCTTCTGCTGGTCTGTCTTGGGTTGGCGGTCCGACTTTCTTTGGCGGTCCTGGAGATCCCGAGTGATCTGTGTCCCCTTCATTGTCCTCATCCGGATGCCTTTGCTGGTTCTTGTCATCCTTGTTGAGTCCGGCTTCATCGGGGGCTGATGATAGCGGATCGCTATCACTCGAGTCAGATACCTCATTTTCACTGACCGGTTGCGGCAATACGTATAATGATACCTCGCGAAGGTGACCTGACACATGTTTATAGTACGCTGGCCCCTTTGACTGATACCCTGCGGAGCAGAAAGGGCATTCGGATGAACTCGATGCTGCGAGGGCATGCGAGTCTTCGTGTCGAGCCCATTCTCCACTAAGGCTAAAAAGACTTTTAGAGTCTGCACAAGTCGCGATTGTGCATATATACGGTCGCAGGTCATCGAAAACATGTTTTCTAAGTGAGTTAGTGAGTATGCGATATAGACCTTGGCGCCTTGTATCAGAACTTACTTCCAGTTCCTTGTTGTCTGCACGTTGGGGATGTGCAATAAGCAGATAGAGCAGTGGACCTTGCCATCTTGTGTCTCTGGCATCGGTGGAACGCGTGGGCGACCCATACCCGAGGCCGATGCAGTGGTGGCAAAGGAAGCAAAAGTGGCTTCCGATACAGCGTCGTCGTCCACGGACAATG